AAATACATTTAACAAGATTGATTATCATACCGCTCTTGCGATAAAAAGCGCATATTGAAATTATGCTAATTGAAAACTATTATACTCGTGACGCATGTTAGGCTTAATAAATTTTATAGGGCAACGATTTCTTAAAAGTCACGCAGTTATTGAAATACATTAGATAGATACATACGAAACTGCTCCAGATACGTCAAGAATAACATTTATATCACACAAATCTGTTATTTACAGTACTCCGCAAACCTTAAGAAATCTCGAATGGAACGAGAGAGCGTTCTCTTTTCTGTCGTAAAAAATATTGAACGATATGTACGTGCGTCATGACAGTTTTATATTACTTACGCTCTCTGCGCAAATGACGAAAAAAATTTATAATTAACCGAAAAATTAACCCGTTAAGCAATCCATTTGATATGAAATGTTCATCCGAGCGCCGCAACGAGAGGCTCGGAGTATCCGGCAGCGCCCGTCGCGCTTCGTAACGCGAAGCGATTTAAATCTTCAAACGATCTGGAAGCAAGATTAGAAGAGGAGCGTATGCGTACGCATACTGGCCGCATGTATAATTAGGGTAACAATTATGATTACGGTACACGCGCGCACCGGGTTGCTCCGAGAGCGTTTACGCGTTTATAACGCGCTACGTCGTTTAACGTAAAATGTAACAATGCGACGTCCTCTCTTCGCAAAGTATACGACCGATTAAGTGGATTAAGCGCAAAATTTATGACTCTCGTAAATAACGAGTAAAAAGAAAAAAACGTATTATAACAGCAAAAGAATGAACACAGATGAGTTTGTTTCATAATACGCTTAAGAGTATGAGAGATTAAGATATTAGGAGTTATGAAGACACAACTTCTGCTACTGTGTGACAATTATGTAAGTTGACTCAATTTATTTAAGTAAAATAATGTTTTTAATGTTCACTGAGTTAAAACATACTTCAAATAAAATACTTTATAAGTATACCTATTTTTACAGGTAAGTTTGTTTATAAAAATAAAATTTAGATAATAATTAAAAATTTATGTAATAATTAAATTCATTAATTAAATAAAAAGTTATTTTTTTTTAAGGAAAATATTTTGAGTATCAATGCGTCAGATATTTAAAAATTATGTATATTTTATTGTATCTTTGCACGAATGTAAACAAAATTAATTTCCTTTCACGCTTGGAAGTATACACACAGAGTCAATTAAAAGAAAACAAAAGTTAGAAGAAATTTGAAAAATTTATAAGATTTTAGAAATTATTGTAGTGATATCATGATGTTGATTCATTTAAAAAAATGCGACCACAATTTCTTTCAATGACATTTCAAGCTAAAGAAGAAATTTCAATAAAATCGCATATGTCAAAAATCAATTTATGTAATTTTATAATAGTTTGTACTGTCTATTAATTTCTCGGAATAACCCATGTCGGTCAACGGTGAAATACAATGTGTATGAAATTACAAAGTGAATACGAAGTGTAGGGGTCGGAGGAAGGAGGTGGACGACGGAAGATAGTAATAAAAGTGAATACAGTTGAGTGGTGGATAAACGGCATTACGGTATTTTGTAACGCCGGAGTAATAGTTTCTAAATTTTCTTTTACTTCATCGCGAGTCTACAGGTCAAAGTTTATTGCACAATTCAAAAGATTATATATTTAATTGGAGTGCAAAAAAAGGAAACCGTATTCAGTCAACCGTTGTGTAAATTTTTAACATTTTTAATAAAATATTTTAGTATCTTTTTTTCATAATTGCACTTGCTTTTAAGCGGAAGGAAATTAAAGTTGTTTACTGCGCTAAGAATTTTGAAGAAACTATAATTTTATATATATATATATATAAATTATATATATTACTACAC